TGTCCTTGACTGCTCCTCTCGGTTGTCTCCTCTTCCTCCTCCTCTGAACCCCGCCCGTCCACCTCTGGTCAGTTCTCCCGCTTCCTTCCCTCCGTCTTTGCTCAGTTTACCCATGCCCTTTAACCCTGACTTCGCTAACCCTGATCCCAACCCTGATCTTCTTTAACGTGTTATGTTCTTCTTTCGCCTTTGTCTCTTCCTTGTTCTCTGTTGTTGTCCTTTCTCTTCTCGTCGATGTCTATTAATCAATGGAACGTTCGGGGTTATTACGCCAATTTCATTGAACTCCAACTTTTGATTTCGCAGTTTTTGCCCCTTTGTGTCTGTCTCCAGGAGCCGATGTTTGGTGCTCGTCCTGGTCGTTTTTGTGGCTATTCCTTTCTCTCTCTCTCTCCCCCCCCACCCCCCCACCCAGCTGTGTCTGGGGCTCCTAACTCTGCTCTCTTGATTCGTTCTAATGTTCCCTTTGTCCCCTTGCTTTTTCCTTCACCTCTCCATTGTTCTGCTGCTCGTATCTTTGTGAGGAAATGGTACACCGTTTGTTCCATTTATCTCCCCCCGAGTGTCCTGCTTTCTCTTCCTGATCTGAAACACCTACTGGACTCCTTGCTGGAGCCTGTGCTCCTGCTGGGTGATTTCAATTGTCGTCATTCCCTTTGGGGTGATGTTCTGACGAACACCCAAGGTCGCCTTCTTGAGCCGTTTATCCTCTCTTCTTCCCTGTCTCTTCTGAATTCTGGTGAGCCCACGCATTTGGACTCTCGGACTCGCACCCTTTCCTGTCTTGACCTTTCTCTTTGCTCGTCTTCTCTTTACTTAGATTTCACGTGTCAGGTTCTTGATGACCTCCATGGCAGTGACCATTTCCCCATCCTTGTTACCTTTTTCTCTTTTCATCCTCCCCTCTCCTTCCCTAGGTGGCAGTTTGCTAAGGCAGATTGGAACCTATTTACCCTCAGTGCTGCTCTCTCTGACCTCTCCCTTCTGCCTCCACGTCGCTCTCTCCTCCTTTTTCATGAGACTGTCTTCGACGCTGCCCTCCACTCTATTCCTCACTCTTCCTCTCGGGGTCCACAGAAGTGCGTTCCCTGGTGCAATGCGGACTGTGCTTGGGCTGTCTGCTGTAAGCATGCAGCCTGGAAGAGACACCGCCATCGGCAGACGACCGATTCTTTTCTTTTCTTTCGGAAGGCGAGTGCAGTGGCCCGTAGGGCCATCCCTACAGCTAAACGTGAATGTTGGGCATCTTATGTCTCCACCACTATGTCCGAAACTCCTCTACCACAGATCTGGAAACGTATCCGCAAGAAAGCGGGTAAGTTTGTCCTGATGTTTCGCCGGTCCTTCACCTCCGTGGTACTCTTGTGGCGGACCCGTTGCAGGTCGCTACCGAACTGGGTTCCCACTTTACTTCTGTTAGCTCTGGTCTTCATCTTCCCCAATCTTTCCTTCTTCGTAAACCTGTCCTTGAATCTCGTCCTTTAGATATCTGCACTCGTCTTCGGCTTCCCTATAATGATCCCTTCTCTTTCTCTGAGCTTCGTGTTGCCCTGGCCCTCTGTGGTTCTACGGCAGCGGACTCCGATGGCATTTATTATGAGATGCTGTGCCATCTCCCTCCATGCACGTCTCAGTATTTACTGAGTCTGTATAATCGGATCTGGGAGTTGTCGTCAGTCCCTGAGGACTGGCGCGTTGACGTTGTCCTCCTTGTTTGCAAACCAGGGTCTCTGGGAACATCCCTTAAGGACTTTCACTCTATTGCCCTCACAAGTTGTGTCTGCAAACTCTTTGAACGTATGGTTAACGTCCGTCTGATGTGGTTCCTGGAACACCATCACCTCTCCCCTTCTCAATTTGGTTTCCGCAAGTGCCGCAGCACGACAGATGTCCTGGTGAACTTGGAGGTCTATATTCGTACTGCTTTTGCTGCGAAGACCTCCGTTGTTGCCGTCCTTTTTTTTTACCTGGAAAAGGCTTATGACACCACTTGGCGATATCATATTCCATCCCAGCTTCATTCTTTTGGCCTTCGTGGTTGTCTCACTCTCTTTTTTCGCAGCTTCCTCTCTCGTCGTTCCTTTTGGGTGAGGCTTGGTACTGCTCTCTCTGCCTCTTTTCAGCAATACGAAGGTGTATATGCCCCAGGGTAGTGTTCTGAGCACTACTCTTTTTCTGGTTGCCCTCAATGGTCTTCTTTCCTCTCTTCCTTCTGGCGTCTTCTCCACTCTTTATGTCGATGATCTTACCCTTTGCTGTCAGGGTGATGATTCACCTCTCCTTCAACCCCAGCTTCAACTTGCGATTGATGCCGTGTCGTCTTGGGCCACCACTACTAAGACTTGTGCCATGACTTTTACTCGGAAACGGGTCGTTCTTCGTCTCTTTTGTCACTTTCTGGTCGTCCCCTTGAGTACAAAGATTCCGCGAAGGTTTGGGCGTTATTCTTTGACACTCATTTGTCTTGGTCTCCCCATATCTCTTACCTCCGTGTTGAGTGCTCTAAGGCCCTTACCGTCCTTCGGGAATTGTCCCATACTTCTTGGGGAGCAAATAGGCGCACTCTCCTCGCTTTACATTCCTCTCTCGTCCTGTCTAAGCTCGATTATGGTTGCCCTGCTTACTCGTCTGCTTCTCCTTCTACTCTTCGCAGTCTTGATGCTTTGCACCATATTGGGTTGCACCTCAGTTCTAGTGCCTTTCGTTCGACTCCCGTCCTCAGCTTGTATGTTGACACTGGCTTCCTAACTCTCCAGGACAGCCGTGATTGCTTCTGTCTTTGCTATCTTGCACGGTCCTTGCAACATCCTTCCTCTCGCCTGTGTCGTGCTTAAACGTTTACCCCTCCTGCGGTTCCTGTTCCTCTTCACCACCTCCCTCTTTCTGTTCAGTTATCTCGCTTACAGGATTCTCTTTCCGTTCATATTTTTAATATTTCTCCTCATGTTGTTCCCTCTTTGCCCCCATGGAGAGTTCCCCCTTCCGCAGTTTTGTACATCCTTGACCTGTATCACTAAAGCTTTTACCCCTCCTATGGTTCTAAAACACCTTTTCCTTGAGCACTTTTCTTCTCCCACTCCGTTTCCGTCTTCACTGATGGGTCTAAGTCTGCGGACGGTGTTGGCTACTCTTGTTTTTCCTGACCGCACTTATATGTGTCGCTTACCTCCAGAGACTAGCATCTTCACAGCAGAGCTTTATACTATTCTCTATGCTCTTCGTCTCCTGCTTTCTCGTTGTCAATCTTCCTTTGTAGTTGTTGTTGACTCTCGTAGTGCCCTCATGACTCTCGGATCCTTTAATCCGGTTCATCCAGTGGTTGTCGAGATCCATCATTGGCTTTTTCTTGTTCACAGTAAATTTAAGTTGGTTGAATTTTGTTGGGTTCCCAGCCATATTGGTGTCTCTTAAAATGAGCGTGCGGATGCTGCCGCCAGGGAAGCTGTCTGCTCTTGTCCCATCTCTCGTAAAGGTATTCCTTATTCCGACTTTTACATGGTTATCCATTCCTCCATCCTTACCTATTGGCAGGCTTGTTGGTCATCTGTTACTGGTAACAAACTATGTACTCTTAAATGTCGTGTTTCCTCGTGGCCGTCCTCCTACCACCATAACCGACGATGGGAAACGGCTCTGGCCAGGTTGCATATTGGCCCTACTCGCTTAACTTATGGTCACTTGATGGAGTGCCGCCCTGCTCCTTATTGTCCTAATTGCATTGTCCCTCTTACGGTTGTGCATATCGTTCTTGAATGTCTTGACTTCCAGGACAAGCGTGTGTCTGGCTTTCCGACCGCCCCTTGTGGTCACCTGTCCCTCGATAGAATTCTTGGTGACTCGGATACTTTTGATATCGTTCGCCTTATGTGTTTTTGTTCTCGTATTGGCATCTTTGGTGATATTAAGCGCCCCCTGATTATTCTGCACATTTGATACATAGCCTTCCCGGTTTGGTGCCTTCTTTTGATAATTACTTACTTACTTCGAAATGGCTTGAGGATGATGTGGAGGTGATGGGTGTCGATCCAAGGGCAGATGCGCTTGTCTCGGCGGTGCGGGAGTTGGCTGCCCTGTAGAAGCTGTTTGCATCGATCATGCAGGAAGCAGAGTCTTTGTCCTCTTCTTCTTGTCTCACGTGCCATCAGGCAGTGCTCGCTCAGTCTTTGGAATCTGCTTGGGACCTGGCTCTTAGGTTTTTTTCGCCTTTTTGTCCTATGCTGTTTGCGGAGTCTGCAGTGGTGTCGTATCTGCAAGCAGCAGCTTCTAGTTGTCGTCCCTTGTCGTACTTGTTGGTTCTCTGGGGTGGGGGTGGGGGGCCATGGGGGCTCTTCCTGGAAGGATTGCGCCAGGGCTCGAGGTCGGTTGTGTCGCATTAGGTCGGCGGTTGCAGCCAGTTGCCTCAACTTCGAGTTGAGGAACGAGTGATGACCACCTCCTGGGGTAAGTCCCTCTTGTTTTTTATTTGGTTAAGAAGCTTTGGTGGGGGGCCGAATGGGCTTCCTCCAGAAAACCAGCGTTGAATGTAATGAAACGCCATAAAAACTCCATTCGCTTTGACTAATACCAGGGGTCTAATACATTCATATCAGCCCGGATAGCTCCGGGGAGCCTCTGGGTCTCACCCAGCAAATAGCATTTCATTACATTCAATGCTGTTTTTTAAATAAAATATACGCAAGTCCACTTTTCATTAGTAAACTGTTTTTGCATTTACTTTAAGGTTAGGGTCCTTCCCACCCACTGTCTTCCCCACTCACGCCCACACTGTCCTATAACACCACCCTCAAGCCCACAGCCCTGCCCGCCCACTGTCTTCCCCACCCATCCCACACGCTCACACTGTCCCATGACACCACCCTCAAGACCACAGCCCTGCCCACCCACTGTCTTCCCCACCCACCCCACACGCTCACACTGTCCCATGACACCACCCTCAAGCCCACAGCCCTGCCCGCCCACTGTCTTCCCCTCCCACCCCTCACGCCTTCACTGTGCTGCAGGACCGCCGGAGCGGGTGGAGGCGTGCCAGCTGGTAAATCACACAGGAGGAACGCTGGAGGTGCGGTGCTCGCCAGGGAGTGACGGAGGCCTACCACAGTGGTTCGTCGGCAGGGTGTTCGACGCCAACACCCACAAGCTGTTGGTCACCCTGGAGGAGGCGGTGCCCAGGTTCCAGGTGGGGGGGTTGACCCCAGGCCTGGACTACCTCATCACTATCACAGCCGTAAATGAGAAGGGCGCCAGCGAGCCACAGGAGATTGATGCCATACGACTCAAGGTGAGTACACCTCCGTCAACCTACTGATCACCTTAATGTTATTTCTTTATACAGAAGACACGGCTGAAACAACAGTCTTGGAGAACACTTGGAAGAGGCGTGTGGCAGCCATGATGCAAGAATAATCACAACAAAAAGTGATACGGTTATGTGTAAATATTGACAGACTTATTGGATGGCCTGTGCCCAATCAATCCTGTCACTTCCATTATTCGACATTATGTTAATGTTTTTTTAATGTACTCAGGTGTAGAGGTTATACAATCTCACACTAATGTTTTATATATATATATATATATATATATATATATATATATATATATATATATATATATATATATATATATATATATATATATATATATAACTGAAAACTCACACCCCAGAAGTGACTCGAACCCATACTGCCAGGAGCAACGCAACTGGTGTGTACAGGACACCTTAATCCACTCGACCATCACGACCGGACAAAAGTAGGTGATAGCCGAAGCTATTTGAACCACCCCCCTGCCGGCACTCGGATGGTAATCTTGGGCATAGTATTTTATCAAATCACCTCATTGTTTGGGGCACACGTGAGGAACACAAATGCGAACAAGCCTGAATGGTCCCCAGGACTATATGAAACTGAAAACTCACACCCCAGAAGTGACTCGAACCCGTACTGCCAGGAGCAATGCATATAGTCCTGGGGACCATTCAGGCATGTTCGCATATAATATATATATATATATATATATATATATATATATATATATATATATATATATATATATATATATATATATATATATATATATATATATATATATATATATATATACCAGAGGTGGTACGCTCACAAAATTTTATAAAAAAAAAAAAAAAATATATATATATATATATATATATATATATATATATATATATATATATATATATATATGTATATATATAATATACATACATTTGGCGGTTTTGTCTTGTTGCTGATGGAACAGTCTGCCGCAATTTTGTCAAGTCAGGTCGTTGTCTAGGATCTAGGTGCCCGCCCCGGGGCGGTGACAATGAAAAACTTGCTGCAGGAGCGAGGAACAATACCTCCCTCAACTTTATTTCAGCAGACAATCTGCTTGAAGTGGTCAAAGCGACGTCCACCAGGACCTTTGCCCCCCATCCCCAAGGCAGCCCGTCACAAAGCAGCTACCAAACTCACCAGTCTGCTGACTAAAGTCAACAATGACCCTGGTACCATTGGAGCATGGCACAATCTCCTACTTTTTGGGGAATGCATGCCTAGCATTACTGCCGAGGAGAGACAAGTCATTAGCATCCTCAGTAATCGGGGCTCTTAATGAATTCCCCAGAGCAGACAACCTGGCCCGCCTCTCCCCTCGTGCCAAGAACACCAGCCGCAGGATGACCAACAATAGCTCACCTGAGAACCATAAAATGACAGCATAGATCACCAGGAAAATAGAAGTGGGCAATACCACAGGTGCCATCAGAATCATGACCAGCGATGACACTATTGCCCTCAGGAACGCCACGACAGCACAGACTCTACATGACAAACACCCACCCAGAGCCCCCGACAGCAGCAGTGATCACCAGGAAAACAATACTGGCATAGAACCCTTGACTGTTCGAGAATCTGAGGTGTACAAAGCAGCCATGTCTTTCCCAACAGGCTCAGCAGGGGGCTTTACAGGCCTAAGACCTCAGCACATCAAACAAATGCTGAACCCGGTGCTTGGAGATGCCGCAAAGGACCTTCTGGTGGAGCTTACCAGATTCTCCAACATGTGTTCGGCTGGCGGCATCCCCGAGGATATCAGGCCTCTCTTTTATAGAGCAGCACTCTGTGCTCTAAAGAAGAAGGATAGGGGAATCAGGCCCATTGCCGTTGGCAACACCCTCCGACGCCTCGTAGCTAACCTAAGGCTGCAGTGAGATCTATCAGTCAGGAAGTGGCTACCTTGCTGAAACCTAATCAGCTCGGGTTTGGGATTTCCCTAGGTTGTGAAGCTGCAGCACATGCAGCACGGGCTTACATTGCTGATCTTCCGGCCGAGAAGGCACTAGTAAAGCTTGACTTTAAAAATGCCTTCAATCAAGTCAGAAGAGATGCTGTACACAATCAGGGCTGATGCTCAGGGCTGTACACAACCATTTCCGTCCCCTCTACCCATTCATCCGATCGTGCTACAGTGGGGACTCTAAGCTTTTTTGGGGGGGAGCATGAAATAGACTCCTGTGAAGGAGTCCAACAAGGTGATCCTTTGGCTCCCTTCCTTTTCTGCTTAGCTATCATAGAGGTCACTGATAGTCTGACAAGCGAGCTAAACATCTGGTACCTGGATGCTGGCACTCTCGCCGAAACCCCGGATATCATTCTGGAGGTTATAAGGAAATTCCAGGAGCAAGGAGCAGCTCATTCTCAATGCATCCAAATGCGAATTAGTCTCACGCAACCCAGACATCACTGGCCAAATAAAAAATGTTCTTCCAAATATTCTCGTTGTCGATCCACGTGACTGCACCCTCCTGGGTGCCCCCATTGGCCGCAAGCAATTAAAGAGGTTCTGAATGCAAAAATCACTGATCTAAGGAGAATGCTGGACAGGATTGACAAGATCAATGCCCATGATGCTCTCTTCCTCCTCACAAGATGCCTATCTCTCCCTAAGTTGACTTACTTTCTGAGGTGTTCTCCATCCTACAACAGCCCTAAATTAATTCTGTATGACACCCTTCTGAGGTCCATGCTGATGAAAGTCCTGAACCTGCCACTGGACGACTCAATGTGGGAGCAAGCAACCCTCCCTTTTAGACTCGGCGGCCTTGGTGTCCGCACAGCCTCCCAGATTGCTCTACCAGCCTTCCTTTCCCCCTCTCACGCATCGCACGATCTCGTAAGAGATATCTAACTGAATTCGTGAGTGATTCACGAAATACACGATCCTGCTTTTACTGAATGTTCAAATCAGTGGGATGTTCTTGCAGTCCCAGCACCCATCATAGAACCAACAAAAAAACACAAGCAGTCCAGCTGGGACCACCCACTAGTAGAAAAAATAGCTGATGCCATGCTCAGAGCCGCAACATCAGACAAGGAGAAAGCCCGCCTCAGAGCACTGTATGCCCCCCATGCAGGAGACTTCCTCCTGGCAGTACCCATGTCGGCAATGGGCACGCGTCTAGATCCAGAATCCCTTTGTGTAGCAGTGGCCCTCCGCCTTGGTGCCCCAATTCACACTGAATACAAGTGTATTTGCAACAGGGTGGAAGCAGACCAATACGGACTGCATGGGTTGCATTGCAGAAACACAAAGGGCTGGCATGCAAGAAACAAGAGGTCAATGACATCATCAAGAAAAGCCTCGTCTCAGCTCGGTGCCCAGCAGAGAGAGAACCTCGTATCCTAGGGAACCATATCCCGCATTTCCTCGCACTTCGCCTTGATGGCATCACCATATACTCCTGGAAGGAGGGTAGACAGATGGTGTGGGACTACACACGTGTATCCACCCTGGCTGACACTTATGTACACCTCGGAGTTGATCAACCACAGGGAAATAGCAAAATCAGCCAAATACAGGCGATTGGAAGGTCGATACACCTTTGTTCCCATAGCGTCTGAGACGCATGGACCCTGGGGCAAGAGTGCCTTGGGATTTCTGAAGATATTGGACTCCAAGCTCATTGACGTCACCAGAGACCCAAGAGCTGCCAGTTTTTTGGTTCAGCGCCTCAGAGTGGCAATCCGAAGGGGAAACGCCTGCTGCATCTTCAGTTCCTGTCCGGAAGTGGAGGAGCATCAAGAGATCCATAACCTTTAAGCACTCTTTATATCAACCAATGTATATCTTGTAACCTTTAAATATATAATAAAACAAAACAAAAATCAATAGGCAGGGGGTGGTATGAGAAAAGCACACAGAATCTATTGGAGGGGACCTAAACATTCCCACTAATGCGTTATGTGTGGTTTCCTCCAATGCTAAGGGTCCACTTTCATCCAGCCAGAGGTGGTACTCCCTTCCTTGTTTTCTGCAAAATAATTACATATAATTTTTTTTTAAACCTAGAAGGGGTTTTCAGCTTTTCAATATATATATATATATATATATATATATATATATATATATATATATATATATATATATATGCAACAATGATCACAAAAACACTGATCCAAGTATGCAGAATAACCACATATGAAAAATAGAAAAAGCTTAACGCGTTTTCGGCTAATTCGCCTTCATCAGAGCAAAGTAGAACCTACTTTGCTCTGATGAAGGCGAATTAGCCGAAAACGCGTTAAGCATTTTCTATTTTTCATATGTGGTTATTCTGCATATATATATATATATATATATATATATATATATATATATATATATATATATATATATATATATATATATATATATATATATATATATATATACATACATACATACATACATACATACATACATACATACATACATGCATACATACATACATACATGCATACATACATACATACATGCATACATACATACATACATACATACATACATACATACATACATACATACATACATACATACATGCATACATACATACATATTAGTGTATTCTGGGAGCAGGTTTCCTCTAATACACACGTCATTAAACATTAAGCATTGTGATTATTATTAATTTTCTATTGGATGTTTTCCATTCTACACAAATATCTTTTACCATCTGGAAGGTGAAGAAACAATAGATCACTTAACCTTTCTATTTTTATTGTTTCGACTTCGTGAGCAATGTGACAGTCACAGGAGTACACCCTGTCGCACTAACACAGATGTGACAGTCACAGGAGTACACCCAGTCGCACTAACACAGATGTGACAGTCACAGGAGTACACCCTGTCGCACTAACACAGATATACTGAGCTTACAAGGACGAATCTAGACATTTATGTGCACGTATGCTCATACATAAATATGCACATATCATACCTGTTGCTTGAAAAAATTTTGTA